AAATATAGGGAAAACTTAAACTTAGTTTCAATATTAGCATCACAGTTGCAAAAAAATATGCGGTGTTTATAATTGCAAATATTTGTTTCCTGACATTTCATTTTTTCAATATCAATTTCGCATGGAGATTGACACTAAAAGTATTACAGTTTAATTTTAAAAGGTAATAATCATGGCTAAAATCTATATTTACGGGATCCGAATCGCAACAAAATTCAGCACCATCATCCCGAGGCGAGATGGAGACCCACCCCCTTAAATGCGTGAGCATGAGAATCTAATCAAGCATAAAAAACATGAGGTCATTCAATTCGATGAGGGCTCAGCGGTCACGCTATGACCCCTTGCAAAAAAAAAAAATATCTGGAGGAAGTCGTATGAGGTGCATACTTTGTCTTTCTTCCTCCCGTTTTTTTATTATTCAGCCGTGGTTGACTGCATCGGGGGGGGGGGGGGGGAATTCAGTCGTCTGAAGGAAAAAAGAATTATTCAAATTATTACAGGTTCCCTTCTTGATTGCCAAAATAACTCTCCGTCATTGCCTCTCTTCAAATCAAGTATTGCCAGGATGCTGCCTCATTTTAAGCAAGGGTTATGTGGAATTCACCCTAGTTTCCCCTGATGATATCTTTCTCGGTGCATGATAGCACCATTTCTCACCTGTACACGATCATTCACGGCATCGGCTGGAAACCAATTCCAGTTTCCTTAGGTAAATTTAGGTTCGAAGAAGACACCTCCATGGAAGGAATAAAAGGAACACGTTCGTCGGCAACCCATCAATTCGACGCGAGGCTAGAGGCTTCAACCCCAGGGAAAATTTATTAATACGTTTCCATGGCCACGAAGACTCCGGAAATCGAAGTATATCGTTCACATATTTAATTAATGGGATTCCATGACATATTGACGGAAATTCTTCGGGATTTGTTGCCGGATAATACATAAAAAAAGTTAAAGTGATTGGAGCCTGCCATAGTACCAAGAGAGGGAAATTGAAACAAATTGCTCTCAGTGTCCGTTGAGTAAGAATTTGGCCTGTTGGCATATGACCTGGGGGAATTTCGTGCGTGACTTTTCCACTGTACCTTTCATCATGTTTTTTTTTCTGCATTTGGTTTCTATATTTCCTTTTACGATGTTCCGATAATGAAAAGAGCACATCTCATCGGGACACGAGGAAATGCCGCCGTCTCGAGATCTCGGGACAGGCTAAAAATTATCATCATATTTGTCGAGAAATGAAATGGTAACCGTCACAACAACGGAGAGGAGATACTTTTATTTTATGGGAATGGGAGACTAGCATATAAAACGCTCCTGGTCCACACATTTCAGAATGTACAATAGCATTCCATGCAGAACTCCTTAAATAAAAGCCAATACGGTCGCGTGTCCTCAAAAAAAAGTCTAACCATTTTTCATTTTAAAAAATCGCATTCGATTACAAACGGATATTGGAAATGACTATCACCATAGATTTCACGAATCACATTCACAGTCATATGGCTGGACTTCATCAGCTAGCCATGGCATTCGTGCTGAAAGTGTTCTCCCCTCGCTATGAAATGCAACGGGGCTTCGTGCACGGACCTCTTTCGAATACAGAAGGACTTTATGGAGGGATATTTTGCTTAAATATCTTTGTTTAGATCGAAGGGATTAACCTGATACTTTCATACGGCCTCGGAATTCCCGGAGTCTTCTCATTCTCCGGCAAAGAGGGACAGAAACTTATTTTATTTATTTTAGTCCTAAAAGCAATAAAGAATATGCAGTCAACATTCGGAAAATCAATGTGAGAAGGCACTGGATACTTATTTAAATTTTGCAATGTAAATGAAATTATCGCCTTTCAACAGCAACAGGGAAGTGATCGAAGTTTTCGGGCCAGGCTACGAAACAATCAGTTTTTTTTTTCTCTTCTTTTTTCTTTTTCCTTTCTCTTTTTCCTCTTCATTGGGTATAGCAGCCATACAATACTGGAAGGCTTAAATATTTAAGTCGAAAGCATAAAAGCATATTCGGAAGTGGACTCGACGTAAAAGTGCGTTTCAGCTAAAACCCGGGAGGCAGTTTTCCACGTGGCTTTTTTTCGCTGATCCTGTGTCCGTGATGCGCTTTTACTGCTTTAAAGAGAAACTGCTTTAATAAAAAAAAGTTTCATAGTCATACAAATAATCGGCAAAGAAGGTATTTAAAAGGCAAAAATCGGAAGAAACATAGTTCATAGGAGGTTCCTTGAATGAAGAAACCAAGATTCTGGGGGATTTAGACCAGAGCTGGCCTGCATCCGGCATTCATCATCTTCACATCTATGGGTTTTCTTGAAGCAAACAAACAATTATGTTTTCCCCGCAGCAGAAAATAAATCGAATGGAACTGGCCCATGAGACGACCTCACCCCAGAAAAAAAGTTAATCGAACGAAACATCACGCATTGACATTTCTCAAAGATGTTTACTCTCTCCCGTTACGCAGTACTTCCATTAAATGAGAATGGCAAGTAGATGACCCATCAATTCACGCCAAGAATGAATTAAAGAAAAGCTAAAAGGAGAATTGAAATTGCTCTGAGACCATTTCTGGAATCAGACACCGCCTCTAATAACGTTAGATTCGAATAGTTTAAAATTTCATAAATAAATTATTTTCATTGCCTTTGCTTTCATTCATCCGCCCTTTTACCTATAATTGCTCACTCAATGCCTCTGATTAATTTTTTCCAACTAATTTTTTTTCTTCACAGTCTAGAAATGCTGTGAAGTTACTGAATGGAAGGGAAGAGACGAATCGAAGGACCTCCTTTTACAGCCTCGTAGGACGTTACAATTATAATGATGTTCAGTGCACCTGTTTCCTGTTTTCCGAAGATTATTTAATGGCAGTCGAGTCTTTTCTGAGGGGGGGAATGCTTTTGACAATACGGTGCTTGAAGAGAGCACCGATGCATAGGCCTGGCATCTTTTCCTCGGAAGTTTGATTAGCCGATGCCGAGAAGACATAAACGTTGAATTAATTATTCGAGAAATACCATTTTCATTTTGAGAAAAATAAAATCAATGTAGCAAGGTGACGGCGAATAAGTTTTCCCATTTCGCAATTCCCTCAAATTGCGTTGCTGAATCCTTCAAGCGACTTTCATTCCTTTGACAGGTCTTTACTGAATTGCAAAACAATAATGTATTCCATAAATGGTTACACTCTATGCGCATAAAATAAGTGCCATGCGCCCACGTTCATCCATTAGGGTGTTAACAGTCAGCTCAATGGGCAAAAAAAACTAAATAAGCCATCATAAAATTTCTATATAGTTTTATATTGTTTCGTGGATCTCCAAAATAATTTTTGTACTTTGACTGCATACCAACACGAAATGAAGCAGCCCATTCAGTAACAGATAATTTCTTCACTTAACATACTTCGATACGAAGAACCAAATTCGTTTCTCAAATCTAATACTGAACTTCACATTCATATGATAGCATTTCACGATCTCCTTCCCTTGACGAAGCATGCATCAAGAAAATACAAGCAGGCATTTCCATTGTACCAAGGCGAAAAGCCGGGTGATCTATCTCCTATCTCCCATCTCCTCCCCCCCCCCCCCCCACGTCTCCACTCCTTGAGGCAGAGAGATGGTAATCGGGAGCAGGGGCAGCCACCAGGGCCAAGGTCGACGGGGTGAAAGGGGTGGTTACCCTCCCCCGCGCCTCCACCCCCCTCGCTCTTTATAAGCCAGGTCGACTCCTGCATTCCTCACAGTTCAACTCAAGCTTCCTTCTGAGAAGCATCTTCTCCACTATCATCTGCTTCCACAACAACTGTGAGTCTCAATTCTTTCTTCTGATATTTTTTGCCTGTTCTGTATATTGTAATGTATCTAAGAATGGCGTATTCCCATTCCTCTGTTTCTAGAGTTGAACTCTTCGGTGACGCATACACCGTGGACGTGCTACATTTATCCAACTCGTACAAAGAATTTCTCCATTGATGGCGTCGCCCGGTGGATCCTTCACGGTTGGCCGTGAATCACCAGTGTCAGGTCACCGGGTAGGATTCATCCAGGTGAAGCCCATCAAAATCTACCTGAAGAAGAAAGAAAGTGACTGCCCGTCGACCTGTCTTTGGTGATCTAGCTGTATGATCACAAGAATTGTGACCCGTCATATTCATAAAGCTAGATCAGCAAGGCTAGGACGATTTCCGGGAGCATCGTCGGAGCGGCTATAAATAAACCAACGGTCAACCATCCCCAGTCCATGGGGTAAGGGGTAAGAAAAAGGAAAAATCCTACGGACCACGGCTAGCCTCACATCTTTGGCGGGAGAAAACCCCTTTCTCTCCCTTGTAGTAAACAAGTTGGAATGCGAGGGAGACGAGAGGGTGGAGGCGTCTTGTTACCCCTCCCCCCCCATTCTCCCAACGGACACTTCCATGGGTGCCCTGGGTGCGCTGAATCTTGGCCGTGTTATGTTCTGTGCCCCGAGTGTCATAGCACCATGAGATTCAGCTTACCCGGGGTCCCTACCTCTACGATCCAGTCTTCTAGCTGCATTTCAACGTCTGCCCCGTGTGGTGTGCCGGTGTGGTTTCGGAGATTCCTGCTGCGTGATGCTGTGATTTCATATATCCAAGTATCACAGTAGGAATTATCCGGAGGTGTCCCGGCTGTCTGCGAGACCTCTTTATAACGACCTAGCTGCTGTGGTCAGGGTGCTTCGGCTCGTGATATGTTGGTCCAGTAGCATTTGTATCACAGTTGAAGTTACCTAGACTGCAGCTGCTCCCAATACGTGCCTACTACTTTCGGCCACTCCAGCGATGAGGGAGTTTCTTCGGTGAGTGTGGTCGCAGTCACAGTGGTTCATCCGATTTTGTGACTAGACCCGACACTCATCCAAGAAGCGAACCCAACCCCTTCACCGTGTCTACAATGGGAATATCATTCGACTTCAACGAAGGCTTCCCGCATTCGAGCCCAAAAGGGTGTGGGTGAATCATATCATGGTGGTGTGTACGTTGTTCACCATCACCGGGTGTGATTCATCCGTAACTTGAGGGCGATTCTCAATTCTTCGACTCACCTTGTTGGTTAGGTTCGAGAGGAACTCTTGCTTCAGCTCATCTACCGAAATTCGGTCTTGTGGTCTTTTTGGCCCACTTACGGATGGTACCACGGTTCCCAAGTCCAACTCCACCACCTGAGATAAGGAAAGATGTTAAGTTTCCAAAACTTCTATATATAGCTTAGCATTATTAGTCTAGTAATATCCTTCCATAATTCTTGGAATGGCCCTGCGTTCTAACGGGTTGGGGAACTACAAGAGGTCGTGACCCCTCACCCCCTTCGTCTCACCAGTTCAATCCTCTGCCACATCCTACCCTCTCCCCTGGACCTGTGTGGCTCATGAATCTAGGTCATGCGTCTATTATTATTGTTAGTAAACTTATAGATGGAAGTATCCGTTAAAACTGTTCTTTTTCTGCAATTCCTGTCACCTTCGAGAAGACTGGGTCTTGAGCCGCATCTTCATATTGACGGTACATCTTCACTGTTTTCAGGTAAGCTTCGATCCGACCGATGGCTTCTTTTCTTCCTGCGGCAGTGAAAGTACCCAAATCTCGTAACTGGTAATCCCGGCAGATGAATTCGAGACCCCACCCTCTTCTACAAACCAAGAACACTGACCAGTTAGTGTGAGGTACTGCATGGTGTTGATGTCGACAGGAAAGAAGGCGAGAGTAGCCCCATATTCTGGACACATGTTGCTGATGGTCGCCCGGTCTGCGATGCTTAGGGATGCCACTCCAGGCCCGAAGAACTCGACCAGCTTCCCCACGACTCCCACTTCTCTCAGGTGCTAAATAGTGAGTTGCACATTTTTTCTACTTGAGCGAAGTGTTGGGAGCTACTCTAGCTGAGCTATAAAGTTTCCTTCCATATGGGCAAGATTGAGATTTTTAAATTAACTCGACCGTCCGAGAACCTGTTGTCGGGTGAAAATTGCCACTGGGTAACAGTTACATGAGGGGCCCATAGATGGGACAATATATTTTTGTAAATCTTGAAACTCTTTATATAAAATCTTTATATTGCATTACTGCTTATAAGCGCTTTCCGGTTGATGCATTCACTCCTTAATTAAATTAACTCGCAACTCATTCAGTTGTGAATAAGTTGTGAGTTTCAAGCCATTTTAAAATTTAATTTAGCCGTTACCACTTTAAACAATACTTTCAATATTGTTTCCACCCCTTTTCCGTACGTTGCATCCCGCAATAACGTTTGCTTTGTCCTTGAGGATTCTTAAGGATTCAAGCAGACATAATTCCCGGAAAACTGCATGAATTATTAGGAATGCTTCGACGCAGACGTTTAGACGACTGAAGCTGTTGGGAGGACCTTCGTGATGGTGAGCACGACATCAGTCGCAGTGGCCAGGGGATTCAGATGTCCGACTATGCGATAGCCCACCACAGGAGGCAGTACCATGGAGATGCACTGCCCTAGCATCACTGCTTCAGCTTCTATTCCTGAAATATCGGATTCAACTGCATCAAGGAAAGTCAAATTTAGTCGCTTTTGACATAGTACAATGTCATAGGACATTGTACAGAACACCGCTCCTGCAAGATGTTACTTCAAATTACCGCTTCATATTACAGTAATGCAATAATTAATAGTAATACATTTCATAGATATCAAGAGCGTCAGAATGACGTCCGCCGTTGTCACGGCTAAGGATGATTATTCCTAACGTGCGTTGTGAAAACCAATGTAGCAACAGTATCACTTATTGCAACTGTTTCATTGTCCTGTTTTTTTTTTTTTCTCGTGGGACCATACCACTGCAACTAGCCATTTCTGCCATAATTTGACTGGTATCCGCCATTTTGGTTTAACGTATTTATCTGAAATATGCAAACAATATAAATAGATGGTATAGACAAATCTTATTGCAGCTTATTGGCAGCTAAATGTCCTGAGACTCACCCTTTAGAGATTGCTCATTCTTCTATGAGAAGACAGACAGTACCAGAAAATTCGCCCCCTCTGGTTTTAATTGCCTTTCTAGGGTTCATATATTTGAAAATTATTTGCCACTTACGGGTAAGGAATATTTGGATTGAGTTTCCCTTGAATTGAATTGTAAGATCATTTAGGTCTTTTTAGGCAGGCCATTTTAGGTTCTCTGAAATATATCTAAAGATACTATAAGTATTAACTCTGGGTCTCAATAGTCAAAGTTGCTACGAAGTACCACTGCCACCATCGAACCCTAAACCCGTGAAGCTCCCATTGTAATGACAAAATATTGCTTCCTCAGTGCTTTTCCTTCATGTTTAATTTCAACCAATAATTAAAGTGGCATTCATCTCTTTTCTTTTCACAACAGTGTACATGGCTGGAGCTATAAAAGGCAAAGATGAGATTTTCTGAATATTGAGACTGAGCCATGAGAAATATGATGTCTTGCTTTTTAATTTTGAATTTTCTACCTAGACCAATAATTCTGGAATCTTTAGGTGCATCTTTCAACCAGTAAAGTATGGATTTTCCATCTCAACATCAACTTTTGCTTGCAACTTCAACTGGTTTATATAACCAATATATCTAAAATGAATCTAAATAGTCTTTCAACTGACTGAAAACTGACAATTGACAAATGTCAGTGCCACAAAGTTTGTCAGCTGTAATACAGTTTAAAGGAATGCAACTCTATTCTGAAGCCTGGATCTTCTGAAATGCATGTGCATGCATGCAATAAAGATAGCAACTAAATTGTTTCATTAGGAAATCCATTAACATGCGTATTGATATTTTATTGTTGCAAGCACATAAGTGGGATAATGATGCCAAATGTGAGGTCAAATTGGATCCCTGGGAATCAGGCTTAGTTAAGCCAGGGATCCAATTTTAGTCATTTTTCTTCTGGGAATTGAGTAATATATCAATGAAAAGAGAGCTTTCATTTGGCAGTCTAAATTTTGGACCTCATTTAAAACAGGAAGTATTAACTGTTCGTTTGAAAAAAGGACAGTATTGGAGTTTAATTTTAAGTGGTTCCAAACAACATAGCAAGTTGAAATTTTATTTATTAAATCATTGCTTTTGTCCATAATACAAGCTGTTTTGTCTACAGCACAAAAGCTCTTTGTTACCATGCATCCTAGTGCTCAAAATTTGCATGCAAAATTTGGCAATAGTTATATATTTTGAAATTGTGTAACTCAATTTATAATAGACTAAGTCGAAGAAGTTGCATTTAATGTAATTCCACATTGTCTCATTCAATTGGAGTTCAAAGACTCTTCTAGCTTGACCAAGGCCAATGATAGCACTCTAACCCTTAATGTCACCTGTCCTCTTGGGGGCTAGGCCACTTTTCTTGAAAACCATTGAAAATAGAGAGCCAAAATTTTTGGTTTTATTCATAAGTCTTAGATGTCAACATGCACAATTTTGCTGAAAATACTGCAAATCTGAAGCCCAGTGCAAGTGGCTAAAATTTCACCACTTCAGAATGCTCCAGAAATGCATAAACATGCACAAAATCCTAGTCAATACACAAAAAACATGTATGTTATTTCAAAGTATGCTTATGAAAGAAAATTACAAAGGAGAGCAGGATGATACCATCGTTATTTGAGATTTCAATGGAAACCGCCATTGCAGCCTTTCAAGAAAGCATCCATCTGATGGTGATAGAAACACGTGATAAATTAAAGAATACCTCAATTTCTTGGTTGCTCAATTCCATATTGAGAAAGTCTTATGCTCTTATTCCCTTTGAAGCGGGTGAAGGAAACTACTTATTTAATCTGTCAGTTCCATTATTTAATGTTTCTTCTTGTCCTCCATTATTTCATTATTTCAAGAAATGCATGCATTGGTCATTGGTCATTGCCCTCTTGCTGTTACTCCCTATTCCATACGATGAGAGGAATGAGATGCTGGCCACTCACCACCCTTAGACCATTTACCATGACCATGTGGGAAACTGCATGGATTAAAAGCATGATATATAAAAAAAGATAGCTAACCTCCAACTCCCCATCCAAAAACCCCCAGTCCATTGATCATGGTCGTGTGGGAATCTGTGCCAACAAGGGAGTCGGGGAAAAGCAACGGAGAAGAAGCATCGTCCGACTGGAACACGACCCGAGCCAGGTACTCCAGATTGACCTGATGCACAATCCCTGACCCTGGGGGCACTATTAGCATATTCTTCAGTGCCTTTGCTCCCCACTGTGTATCCAGATCAACAGACAAAAAAATAATCATTACCCCAGTCGAGCAGTGACTTCGTCAACTTAGAAAATGAGAAATGAAAAGGATTATTCTTATTCCAAGGCTAGAGATTTCAGCTGAATAGAAATGTCACCATAGTGAATGCCAGAAGCATGCTTAACCCTTTCACAGCTACATTCTTTTTCTTGATACATCCCTGTACTGAATTTTTTTGCTCTGTGCGACATGGTGGGCTCTACTTATAAAAAGTTCCATTTACCTTATGTATGTGTATCACTGGATTGGTTCATATTGTCTTGATGAATCTCAGGTAAGAACAGGAAGAAATACCAAAACAAGACATACATTTCCACACTTGATCATAGCAGTGAAAGGGTTAATCATGCAAAACAGTATATATGAGCATAATATCAGTATCTAAGAATATATTTTAATAACAAAGGATGAGTTGAGTTCAGCTCCAAAGTCCAGCAGCACATCTAAGACATTCAAATGTGGGGGAGGGGGGGGGGGAATCAGGAGTGTAGCATAGCCAGAAACTAATTCCTCAGGAGATCTGGGAGCAGAATAGTTGAGAGGATTCCCAGGAGATCCTGGTCCTTACCCCCCTTGTCCATGTTCTTAGCCACATAAGAAATTTCATGTATGGAAAAAGTAGCCATTACAGTAAAAATTTAAAATTTCAAACCTCCTCCTCCCACTTCTCCAGATATGATCCTGGATGGGTCACTGGATCCCCCCCTTCTGGCAAATATGGGACAATATCCCCACCATTTGGCTCAGGATGTCCCTCCAATAATGTTTTCCTTCTAATGTTTTAGAAAAATGAAAAGGTTGATTACTTCTCATGCTGATTATTTCTATAACTTAATTTGAAATCTCTTTATTGCTGGAAAAATTTCACAATGAAATTGGCTCTCAACTCAAGTACCTCACATTTTCCTTCATTTAACCTCAAGTTTGATATGCATGAGGATTATTCTTGGGCTGCAGTGTACTACCAGGCAATGATACCAGTATAAACTACCTCAGAAAGTCATTTTTTTTTTTTAATATGTCCATTTGATACGATACAAGCTTAACAGTTTCACTGTACAAGGTACTGGGTAATAAGGTACTGGGAACATGGGATTCTATTACCATAATTCCATGTTGACTCTTGAACACTTGTTAACCCACCCCTCTATCTAATCTTCTCCACACATAAAATCAACATGAGTAACCTTGAGTAGAACACCTTTTAAGAGTTTTCACAATGCTTCAGACCTTTCCAAAGCAAAGACAGAAATTCTGAGATACCTGTATGTTGCTCCTCGCCAGCATGTCACGTCAGTACTATCCAATAAGACTTCATGTAGGTAGCTGGCAGTTAAAAAAAAATAAATAGGATTTTGATACCTCGTATCATGTAGTGTAACACACCATTGTATACTTTGCATTCCTAACAATTTTAATAGGTCTATACTGATAACCACATATGATGGCTGATTGTGGTCTGTTAATTGAGAAGACATGAAATTGCATACTAATTCCAATAGGCTTACTTGGCAGCCCTGTGATACTTATGTCATACTGGTCTGTTTAAAATAATACAGACCACTTTTAGACCTGTGCAGCCTGTTGGTCTTCATCAGCCAGTGGTTAGCTTGTAACCTATTGCTGGCTATTAAGAGCATTACTGCAGTATTCCTCTGCTGGTTCCTATACGCAGACTCAGACATAATCTGTTTGGTATTTTTGTTCAGGAGGAGCAGGCAGGAGTGGCATTCAATGAGACATGAGGGCCAGCACCCAGATGTGTTTAAAGCTCAAGTAATTTTTTATTGTTTTGCCCCTACTTTGGGCACTGGCATGAACAGCTTGAAACCTGGCTGATACGGGTGGTTGAAGATACATCAGTACAGCCATAATTTCTAATAATTTGGCTTTGTTGCAGGCATAATGCCTGACTTTTTTAAGCAGAAAAATTGAAGCTTGCAACTTTTAGTTTAGAGATATTCTGGGACACTAGCATGCTCTCATTCTAAAATTCAGGAAAGAATTTCAATAACACATGATGTCAGCTATTCCTTTGCCACATTGGAATGTGGCAAAAGAATTGTTTCCTTAAATTTTCAAGTGCCCAGGTCATCTGGATTTTTTTCAAAGTGCAGACATATATTGGAACTTTTTCCATCATGATGGAAGCATTGCTCAAATGCTTTTACTCATTGATGCCAAGAAGGATGTTCTTAAGACTTTAAGCTTTGCCAATTTGAATTGACTATGGGTGTAGGATGTCATATGAAGGCTGCAGGGCGTCAAGTGTTAACGCAGTGCCCCTGGGTGCATCTTTCTTCCTAGCAGCTCTACTAGCTCTGCTGAGGCCTCCAGCATCCCATGATGCCATGTTAAGGCTGAGCTGCTCAGCACTCCCATAGTTTGCAATGTTCCGCTGCCAGCTGCTTGTCCAAGAGTGATGTCATTCGATGACACGGTCGTGCCTAGCCAACGTGTCTTTTTTGCTAGCAGCTGGAGAAAAAGACACACCCCTTGTCATAGTATTCCTGATTTTGTTATGTCATTGGGCCTCAGGTGATACGGTAATGCTTGGTTTTTTTTATTGCAAGTTTAGAGTATAAGGACTGGAGTGGGAAGAGAATAGTGAGAGATCTCTACCAAATTGTGGGCTCTGTTCTGTGGAGTCTCTTCCAGCCCTTCTTTTAAAAGCACCCTTTTGATGATTTTTCCTTTGAATGATACAACCTGACAACACTGCATAGCATAAACATTACAATAACTAGCTGGGGAAGCTCAGCCCAGTAGTGGGCCTCCTTTCAGTAAAAGGGACCATAAGGTTGTCACTTAATTGAACAAAAAGCCATCTCTTTCTGGTTCTTGACCATCAAAAATCTAATTTCTCTGTTAGATTTGATAAACACAGGCAAATGGCGCCTTTGAATTGTTGATGAGAGGATGGAGGGCTGTGCCTAGCTGGATCCATCTGCCACAAATGCTGGTAGGGAGTTAACAGCACTGGTTGCTGATAGCACCATGTGCAAGACCTGGATTGTTTGCACATGTGCACAGTGGTCCTGATCCTTATGGGTTCGTGCCTTCCCATCATGAACAAATTTCAAATCCAAATTCTCAATGAAAATGTCCAATTTTTGTAACTAATTCACCACAAAGTGAAATCAACCTGTATCTTGTCGACATCTACCTGCTTGCCAATTTTGCTGTGATCAGGCTATTCTTTTCTTAATTATCATCAGACGCACAGACAGATACACACATGGGCAGAACAAGACCATAAGTGGTCTCTCTCATTTCAAGAAAGGACACCCACTAAAAATGCAGCCACAAGAATCTGGCTTGGTGAGTAGTGGGAATCTGAAGAGTACTGCTGAAACTACTACCTCCTGATATACGGAAAACCAGAATTTTCTTAAGGATTCCATGACTATTGCTCCTCAGTCAAATGACCTGGAGAGTTCAAACTTTCCTGAAAGAAATATTAGAATGTTCGGTAATCGTATGAGGTGTGACCTACTGATGATCTGTGACCAACCATAACACATTGGAAATTAACTGATCTACACAGTTTGCATGATATAAAATACACCCTTTTTAAACACAGTTTTATTTTCCAAAGCTACTAAGGCCTGCAAATTTCATCATTTTACTATCGTCAGGTATCACATTACATTACATTACATGTAGATTAATCAGTGAACATAGACTTGACGTCCCTAATGAATACCTCGAACCTGTTGTTCGTGGGGTTGAGACCACACTACCAGGCCTCAATGAGGTGCCTTTGCAGAAGCTTGAGCATTGTCCCATGCATTTTTTGTTTGATCTTGCAAAATGCCCTGTTCATGGAGTCAGTTGCACTCTCTTTACTACATGTACTGATTACTGAGTAAAAATCTCAGCATTGCATCGCTGCATCTGCTGCTGCTGATAGAGCAACGTGCCTTTAACTACCCCAATATGCATGCGGTGGTGGTTTCGTGATTTCAAGGGGGGGGGGAGTGACTGCCCCCCCCTTATGGCCAGATTTGCATTCAATTTTTTTAGTTTAAAAGGCACCGACATTAATCTTTATTGGTGCCAGTGAAGTAGATATCCAAGTTTTTACCCCAAACGAAAAATGAAAATAGCGGTAGGATGGAGGGTGGTAGTAGATTGGGGGGAGGGGGTTGTTAGAACTAGGGAATCCCCCTATGAAAAATTTCTGTATCCACCACTGTATGCATGCAACCCCACTCATGCTTCCCATTCAGTGACACTGACAGGCATATTGGCATATTTGGGGAGAGTAGGTTGAGTCTGGGTTGACTGTTTACCCCCCTCCCCCCCCAAAATAAATCTCCCAATATGCCTGTCAAGTCATCACACAGTGTTGTTACAGAATAGTGTAAGACACCACCCCACATGGTAGGTCACACCTCATACCCAAAGAGCTGTGGTAGGTCACACCTCATATGATTACTGAGTGTATTTAGCAATTCAATAGTAGATTTCATAAAGGCTCAAACAGGATGCATTTTTTCTCTGCACCACCTGGTATGGTAACGTCATAGATAACCTTAGCATGGAGGAAGTAATGTCTTAAGTCTCATTTTGATATTTAAATCACTAGTAATTCAATGCTTCATTTCTAATGTGGTATGGAGCAAGCACAAGAGAGGTAACTTAAACTTTCCAAATTCTCTTTTTACCAGTTTCAGAAATATTTTTTTAAAATGTCTCATTTCATGCACCTGATTTTTAAGCTTTCTCTCTAGGATGAAACTTCAATTTTAAACTAAAGCTAAGTGTACCCAAATATTTCAAAACACATACAATAAAAAGTCATTAATAAATGAATAGCTGCAGCTAGCAGGATTTAAAAAAATTAAGCATTAAACATTATTAATAAGCTCTCTCAAACAATGGGGAAGGAGGGGGAAGATGAAGATTACTTTGAGGAAGCGGAATCTCTCCTTGTTCCTCTCGAATTCCATCTCTTCATTCTTCTGCAAAGCATCTGGCCTGAAAATAAGTAGTGGAAGAGCATAATGAAAATTTAGCATGGTTGAATTCTTTCATGCAACCTTTCCTTGGCAACCAAAGTGTGAAACATAATTTTTTAATAGATAAATTCCAGGTGCAATGAAAAGGATATTCCCATGTATGCTAATAAAGAAACAATGTGAACTGGCCTCCTCAAATAGAAAGTAAAAGAAGGCCTATAATCTTATTCTCAGGCATAACACATTGGAAGGTCCTGTTTCTCAATTCATGAGAGAAACTGATTTAAAGGGAACCAAGAAATGAACAACTGTAACCATATTATTATGTGTGCTCCAATATAAACCTTTCTTTTTATTACTGCTTGACATTCAAAGAACTTCAGATTAAGATTTTCTCCAATATGTAAGAAGTTTATGAATGACATCACTAAAGCATTGTGCTGCTCTGACCGATCCACCTGGAAACTACCATTATACAATTTTCAGTTTGAATTCATAAACTCCACCCCCATGGAATTCTATTGATTGCTGTAGTGCCATCTTCTGCACAGGTGCTTTTGCAGATCAGGTGGATCAGATAAAGTGGATCCTCTGGAACTTATTTTCCTCTGCTCTCCACCATAGAAGGGGACTAAGAACTTAATCTGAAAACAGTGACACCTCATCAATGCACTCTGAAAGTGTTCTTGCAAGGATTCCCTTCATGGTGCAAAAACAAGGAAATCAGATCACATGCAATATGCTGCATGTGGGAACCATATTCAACCAAACTCTTGAATGATTTTCCACATGATAGGGGCAATATGTGCATGCACAATCTTATGGAGCACAAGAACTTACCTCACAGGAAGTCCATGATATTTTCTTTCCCCATTGCAGACTTCAAATTTTGAAGAGGGAACAAGGTTACGAGCAGCACCAGTTTCACCCTTTTTTAAATGAACTAAGTAGAATTCATTGTTCTTGAATGACTCCTATTCTCAGTGATATGAAAGTCAACCTGGCAGAAAGAAAAATGCTTTACCACTACTACACTTAGGCTTTGGATGAATCAATCTCATTTGTTGATGTTGTCATGGTGTGTATCATTTTTCTGAAATAAAGAGTCTTTTTTATATTTGACTATTACACATTCTTGGGCATGCTATGATCACCAAAAAAATACACTATGCATGTAGACAAAGAGGTATGTATATAATTACAAGAACCTCATGGAAGGTACTGGATGTTGCTCCTGAGTGTTGATGAGGACTTTATGGCCTCCATTTATGGAGAAATGCATGATGAGGTTTGACCAGACTTGGGTCACTTTGAGCATCTCAAAATAGATTTTTGATGTCCATAAAGAAGGAAAAATTGGTTGGTTATGCATATTGCAAGTTACTGAGGTAGCCAGACAAGAATGCTGAAGGAAAGGATTCACTCCAAAGTATGTTAAATATTCTGCAAAAACATTTCTATTTATCAAGAGGTAATGATTGCAAGGTCAACAAATGAAGCAGGAAATGCATGCCATTCTTTGACAAAAGTCTTTCTGTTATAAAATTAATCTTACAAATGCAATGGTTTTCAAACTTTAATTGCATGTGAGGGCCACTTAGGTATGAGGAATGCATAACATCACAAGTTACCGACTGACAAAAGCAAAATCTAAAAGAGAAGTGAGGTGAAACCTACGTTCGAGCAAAGTCCACCTGAATGGAATGATCGATGACGAGATCGGCCTGACACACCGGATTGATGCACTCGGGGTCTCCACCCAGGCGCTTCACGGCATCTCTCATTGCGGCAAAATCCACAACTGCTGGCACTCCTGTGAAATCCTGCCAAAAAGGAAAACACCATTAAAGGCAAACAAATGTCAATAGGACCAATGACAGTTAAGAGCTTTAATCCATTCATTTCTCCTGACTTGCAGCAGTGTCCTGGCAGGACGAAAGGGAATGTCGACTCCTTTGGGGTCGTCTTGATTCACTTCCCAGTCCAGGATCTTATCCACATCAGCCTTGGTCACTTGGAAGTCATCACAGTTCCTGATTGCAGATTCCAGGAGTACCCGGATGGAAAATGGCAAGCGCTCTGAATGGAGATGGAAATTCAGAAAGTCTTAACTTCCATAGACTCAACTCAATCTCTTCTGCTGGGGCTACAATAATGAGTCTCAAAGAAGTTTTACTAAGGATAAGAAGGTAATGCAAACCCAGTGTCACTCACCGTATCTCGGATCGTTGAGCTTCGACAAATCATAGAAGGAATACGTTTTTCCATCCACTGTCAAGGAGGATAACAAACTCAAGAATGGATTCGCTTTCTCTACTCCCATGATGTCTATCCCCTCTTTTTGCTATTACCTGCAAAATGGTTGGTCAACTGATGAACACTTACACCCTATAGAAATACACTAACATTTGATAAGCCTTCAGAGGAAAATAATGTAATAGCTGAATCTGAGACTGCACACTTTTTACTTTTAATTGGAGAATAGAAATACCTGCATACTGGAGAATTTGTAGGCCTCGAACTACTGAACAATTGGCCAAGCTTGTTCTGTTTATTAAGACATAATGGTACATTAGCATTATCATCATACTTGGTTCTTATGAAAACATTTTTTTATATTGTCCCAATTGTATGAAAACATGGAAAAGCCCATTTTCTAAGGCCTCTGACATTTCTATTGACAGTAGGTGGATACAACCGATTGAACTCAAGACAGAATTTACTGGTGAACAAAGAGTGAAATTAGTGCAGCACATGAATGGAAGGCTGAGGAAGGCAATAAATGTCGTTTAATATAGGTCCAACAAGTAAAGGGTTCCACTAAACGGTTGTAGAACTTAGGCCTACGACCAACCACGATCCTCGAGTCATGGCCGAACCAGATCATCTAAATGAAATAGTTACATCCGATGCCTTCACTGTCGTATTTTTAGGCCTGAGCATAGGCCTAACCGGGTCCACCTTGGGGCGAATTCTCCCATCTTCGACGTTCGTCTACGTGGAGACGCGACGAAACCGGACGTAAGCTTATCCGAGGATGCAACCCGACCGAACGTTGCGAAATCACAGGAATTCCGTTTCCTTCGAGAGCTCCACGCTCTCGGCGAGCATGACATCGCAGAGGCGAGATGAACACGTGGCTCCTGGGGCTGGCCCAATCGGATGGGGGGTGTGGGGGTGGGCCAACCACTGGGCTCAGTGGGGCCAACGAGACGAAGTGACGAGCGGCTAAATCCTGTTTCCCGTAGTGACGTCATGTCCACAAGGAGCTAGCGCCTTGCCAGTGGGGCAGATGGCAGCGTGGTCGACCCCATTCCCACGTGGCCTTCACGCCCACGTGGTGCGGGCATAACCGTATCCATGTTTGTACTTCAACTTGTCTCGTTTGCAGCGAGTTAGGCTCATGCTTCTGCACTTTCTGAAACCATATACACAATTCTTACTAGATCCAAGACCTAACGTTTTGTCCCAAAAATTCCCTGCATGTTAGGCCTAGACCTTAACCCACTGGCATCGACTTACGAGATGGTCTCGTAGTCTTAAGTGACTCGGGAAAAATCATTTACCTCTTTCTGAACCCTTTGAGACCTGAAGTGAAAAACCAGTGTGTTTCATGACATGACATGGATCTTTGAGTATTCCACAATGGTTAAAGGAGAACTGTTTTCTATGGATTATTCTTAATATTAAAAATTCCAAGTTGTACTCTGATTAATCTAAAAACCCCCTGTACTTGCTCAGGTCCTGACATATTAGGTCTCTTTCAGAACATTTAGGAAATGTCAATGCAAGGGGTCACCAATAGAAATGTATGTACTACAAAACATAAGTAGAAATGGAAGATCATCTTCAAGGTCTCTTATTCTCAAAGTAATCAAGTAGATCAACCAAGCAGAGTGAAGTAGCCAATATTGGAAACCTGGGTTTCATTCTTGAAAGCAGAAATAGGTAAAGAGTTTGAGTTTTGGTAACCTTTTGTTTTCTTCTCTCTGTGCTCAGTGAATTTCAGGTTTATTTTTTCCTCTTTCCCTTGTTTCTGGCTCCATTTGAGACATGGGCTAATTTAAGATGCCATGTAATGAATTGTCAAGCATATTCTTTAATAATAAAAAAGCAACTGACACTATGTACACAAGAAATTCCATAAAAAGTGAAAGCAAGAAGTAGTAGATATGGGGATGGTAACACTAGTAAAAGACTATATCTGATGGAGTCCTTTATGAAGTTGCACTTAAAGATTCACTGATATAATTTTCTGAAAACTTGCGACCCTCTTTAAGACACGTCTGCACAGCATCTTTCTCAAGGAACTGTGAGAAGACATCATCAGCCCCTACAATATCAGGACTGATTTCTTCTGGAAAATAGGAGCTACCAGAGATGGAATGTAATGTGTAGTCATGGCCACTTGTGGATATTGTCCCTAAGAGTCCATGTGCAATTTTTGTGACCTCCTGTGCAGATGGTTTACAAAGGTCAGAGGAGAGTTTCCTCTTTTTCCTTCTGGTAGAGAAGAAGCGAGGTTGTGATTCAAGCTTCTTGTTGGAGGGTTCTCTGAGCCGCTCTGGGGGAACATCTGGGTTCTCAATTGATGAAGTTGAAAGTTCTTTCAACACAGATATACGGCTGTTCAAAGCACTGAGGTCCCTCAAAATCTCTTGGAAAATACATCTATCTTGAATTGTTGAGGTATGATGAACAAGAGTAGCTACCTGACGATCTACCTTATGCCTCAGATCTTCCATAGAGCACTCAACAGTCACACCAAGATCTATTGTGGATTTCAACTTCTCCCGTGCATTTACACATGATGATCCAGCTAAAGATGTATAATCAGCTGAAATATTGCCAACAGAAGTGTCTCTAAGGGAAACCAAGTACCTTCCAACTAGATGGGAATGCTTGCAAAGTGAAGAACGAATCAAAGAATCTGGACAAGAGCATGATATTTGATGACAGCAAATGCAACATTCTCTACATTTCAAATTGCATGATTGTTCTTTGCAGTCACCCATGTAGGAGAGGCAATAAGAGGACTTTCTGTCTTGAGCTGCAACAATGAACTGGCGGTCATTTCCACCATCAACTTCCTGCAACAAATCAAGGGGCATTACGAGACTAGCTTCATGGCGGAGCTCAATAAGCTTCTGTCTCGAACTGAATTTCCCTTTCTCTATCTTGGAAAGCCGACTAAAGATCTTATCACGTGAGAAGTGAAGGAGAGCCAGAACAAGGGTGTCAATGCGCTTATTACATTTACCCTCGAGATATTGACTCTTGAAGACTTTGTGAAAGGCTTCCACATACATGTTGGTGTTCACACCACATGACTTGGGAAATGCAAAGCCCCACTCTTCACAACGTGAAGCATAGTGGAGTCTGAAATATTCTCCAAACTCTTTTGTATCTGGATCAGAGCAAACCTGATGGATGAAATTATCAAGAATTTCTCTGAACACTTTCTCATCAAGCTGCTGCTGGATTGTACGCAAGGTCTTATAAATAGCATTCCTTGCATCCATATCCTTGATCTTCTTGAGAGCACCTCTCCAAGCCCTATCAACATGCCAGGTACAAAGAAGCTTTTTGGGTTTTCCACCAAAGGCAGTTACCCATGCTTTGTAGAACTGAGGGGCATCATCAGTCATGATAACCTCAGGAATGATATTTCCATTTCTCTTCTGGAGGGCTGCAAACACTTCTGTGAGAGACAAGGAGTCCTCCCTATTGCATATTGCCCAGGCAACAGGAACACCTTCACCAAATTCATCTTGAACAAGAACAGTCAAGAGAGGAAAGTCATACTGATTTGTCTTGTGGGTTGTGTCAATGCAAATAACATGACCATGCCCTCTGTCACTAATCATTTGTGCTTGAAAAGATGTTTGAATGACAAGAAGGAAGTCATCTTTTCTCAAAGATGGATGATTCTCATCAACTACACCCTGTGGCTTGAACAACAGATAAGGATTCTCTCTCTGATCAAGCTTTGCATCTCTGACTAGGGCTGCTACAGAAATTGCATCATTCTGATGATGATGTCCAACAATGTTGACTGATTTTTTTATATTCAAGATATCCTTTCTGGTAGCAAGATGACTACAAGAGAATCCACTCCCAAGAGGGCTATCATGGACATCTTCAACAATACGCTCCAGAGAAACACCCATATGAAGGCGACCTGCAATAGATTTTCTATCCTCCACTGAGAGACGCAAGTGTCCAAGAGATGATTTGTGCCCAAAGTGAGAGATGGACCCTTGAACACAAGCTTCCCCATTCTCTTTAGTTGTGACCCTGAGACGAGCTGGGCAATTTTTCCCTGACTTGCAAGAACCCTGGGCTTTCAGAGCTCGCTGCCTTTGCTGAATCTGAGGAACAAAGTTCCCACTTCTATTGCAGGCATAGCGTTGACAAGATACAGCTGGAGCACTTATATTTGGCTTCATGATGTCATAAGAGCCACCATTCTTAACAAACTGTGAAGAGGTGCTGAGCTCTAGCTGATGCTTCCATTTCAGAAATTCTGCTTGAGAGGAGAACCTTTCATCAACTCTATGAACTAGGGAATGGTGATCTTCAATCAAATGTTTTTCTAGAGAAGAAACATAACGGAAATTTCTGAAGCAGTTGTCAAGTGGGCAAACCTGAGACAAAGGGACTGGAGCAGGCTTTGCAGAAGAGGATGCTTGTGGAGGGATACAAGCAGCCCTAGCACAATCCAAGGAACCAGGAGGATGGGAGTTGAGTGGCTCAGGAACAGCAGTGACCTGTGATTCCTCAGCATGGCAAGACTGAGATTGTGAATCAGGGTCTAGGTTGAGTGCTGCTTGGCTGTTGAAAGCTGAAGAATGAAAAGACCCAAAGAGAGACTGCACTGATGGTATCACAGGCAGAGACTTTGGACTCCTGCCAAGAAGTAAAGGTTTGCTCAGTTCATGCAACTTCATGTGCTTAGAAAGTGAACTCCTGTTTGTGAATGATGCATCACAAACTCTACACTTGCAAGGTTTTCCTAAGACTCCATGAATTTCATTCAAATGCCGTGACAACTGATTCTTGCTGCGAAAGGATGCTGAGCACAATGCACATGGGAGCAGCGAGTCCATCACGGGTTTAGGCCTATCATCGGAAGAGTGCAAGTCAGATTCTTTTACTTATGCCATGATAATAAATTCTAAACGCTTATGGGCAAGCTATGACTAGGCCTATACTATTCTTAACGTTAGGCGAATGAATGTTGGGCCGAGCCACAGACCATCAGCCTCCTGGGCCTTTATGTCCGTAAGCTAGGCCAATATCTCAAGCTCAGGGAATTCCGACCTAGTCTAAACTTGTTATGCCTCTCTGAGGTCTTATTTTAGGTCTCTCGCGCCACGAGTGAATCTATCGTAAACACCAGGCAATCAAATCAGCTGGTAAGCACTTGACACACAGGAAGGAATGAGAGACGCCTAGTTTCAAGAGTGTGCAATAGCTCCTTGTGGACATGACGTC